GGGGATGCGTCGCCACGTGGCGTCTCCCGATTTCTGAAAGTCGCTCCCCTGCGGCCGCCACGTGACTTCAAAGCCGTGCGTCCGCGGGGTCGACGGACTGGCCGCGTCCGCGGATTCGGCCGCGGATGGCCGCCGCCGAGGGGGATTCATAGTGGGTGCCCGAAATTCGGGCGGACCGCGGAGTATGGGGGGGTTGTAGGGGCATCGATCCTTCAAAGCGGTGGGTAGTGAAGAGGCTGGTAACAAACGGTACAAGGTACAAAACAGATGTGGGGAAGTAGAAGAAAAACGGGAACGCAGGAAAAAAAAAAAAAACCGGGGTTGTCACATCCGTCAGCGGACCGTCACTGCTCGTGCATTGCGGCATCCCGCAGTGAAGGGAAGGGGTCGTGTCGGGTCCAACACCACGGTGGCCAGTCACAAGGGAGGGGGGGGGGGGGGGGGGGGGGGGGGGGCTGGTCGTCCAACTCTTAGTGCGGGTGGGATCTTCTGCCCTCGTCCGGAGCTATAAATTTACAGGTTGGACAGAGTCACGACATGAGATTCGCCCGTGCCTGTCTCACTGCCGGGTTGTGCTGACAGGAGTCGAAGCCCCCTTCCGAGTACGTGTGCACATCAGTCGTGGAGATAGCGAGAGCGAGCGAGCGACCGAGAGAGAGAGAGAGAGAGAGAGAGAGAGAGAGAGAGAGAGAGATGGCGGGGGTCGAGGAGGTGGTGCAGGAGATCGTGGGCGGGAAAACCGTCGTCGTCCAGGAAACGAAGGTGGATCGGCGTTGCCACCCTCGCGGCCGGATGGATTTCAGCCCTGACACGGTTGATCTCCATAGTCGTGTCTACTATGTTCTCGTGGAAGGGACCCTGGCGATGAAGATCGACGGCGGTTTCGGGTACGACAAGGAAGGCAACCTGGTGGACGTCATCCTCAACGTCAAGAAGCTGTCGGAAGTCGTCCCCGACTACTGGCGTCTCCCAGAACGTGATGTCGTCGACGACATCTTTAGATACCTGATGTCCGCCATAGCTGATGAACACATGGCTGCACTTCGCGGCAATGCCTTCTACGTGGCGCACATGCAGCCCCCTCTCCGGGGTAGGCAGTACTCGCACGACGCTGTGCAGTCGTGGTGTCCGGAAGACGATCTGAAGGTTGCGCGTCGGCGGTGGTGAGGGTGAAGGGGAGTGTTGCATAACCGACGATGAAGCGTAAGGGAAGGTTGGATGCGATCGCGTCATGCACGAAGGTGGTTAGGACGCATGGGGTGCGCATTTTCGGAACGGAGGCTTGCTTGGACGTCGATTCACAGATCTTCGTGTTGGGTGTGGATCGATTGCAATGACACGGCAGCGCAGAAGGGAGGACAACCCCCCAAGATCATCATATGCGATGCTGCCATGTCATCAGATATGTTGGCAAATAATGTTGTCGCTGATGGGTTTTCTGGTGGTTTGCCTACCATCACGCGCTTGGAGGGCGAATCGGCCATCTGCATGTTGGGTATGGAGCAGTTGGAGGGTGATATGTAGGTAGTCGCTTGGGTCACTGGTGATCGGTCGGCCGTCGTTTGCCTCGGGGGGAGGGGGGGGGGGGTCGCCCATCTGAATGTTGGGTGTGGAGAGGTTGGAAGATGACATGGTAGCATAGAAGGGAGGAGAACCCCGCACTATAACGACAAGATATGCTGCCACGTTTGCATTTGAGTCACCGTCGTGTGCTTCTTCCGAGTCGGTGATCTGCCGGCCGTTGTTTTTTTTTCGTTTTTCTTTTTTTGTTTCTTTTGTAAGGGCAGTCGACGAGGATAGTAGTCGGCCGCCGACGTGTAATGTCCCTAACGTCATGAACTTCGATCGTCATATGTGCGTATGTGTGTGTGTGTGTGTGTTCGTGCCGCGGCGAGAAGCAATCGTCAACTGCTCGCCTGGTTGCTGTTTTGCCAGCATGGGTGTCAAGACGACCACGTGTAAAACATGTTGTGACGATGCACCACCGGTTGGAAACGTGGTACTAGGCTGGTAGTCTTCATGTAAGAATTAATGCCCCAAACGAGACCGTTGTCGATGTTGGTTGGTGCTTTGAGCGCCTTTTTTTTGGATCATTGTGAGAACAGAGTGGAAGAAGGAAAAAAAATTGGCAATCATCACCGTCTCTGGATCTTGCACTTCTCCGATATTTGAATATTTTAGTCTGTGTGCCGGTCTATAATTGGTGCGGCATTGCTTGCATGCGGATGCGTGTGTATGACCTTTTTCGTTTTCATGCCATCTGTTTTCGTCATTTTTCAGAACTTTTCAAATAATATCGTTTTTTTGGTTTGTCGGTCATCGTCAACATGTGCATTTGGTTATGTATATGCATATACATCTTCGCTTGTCCATATCTGCTTTTGCCATTGATAAAAGATTGAATATGATGAAACTATGAGCACATTGTGAACCTGCATCACCGCCTATTCGTTGGTCGCATTACGAATATTTCACATCACAAATGCCATTCACATCACGAATGTCAACCACTGTCAAAGACATTTCGGTTCGTGAGAGTTTCGAAGACATTCACATCACGAATGAGAAACACTGTGAAAGACAGATGAAAAACAAGAGAAATGAAATTAAAACCGACTAGCACACGGTTGAAAAACGATTTCATATAAATATCATTGGAATGGGAACTAATATCCCTCATGAGTGCATGACCTCCTGTCTGCATGTGCAGCCACCGTGCTACGCAAATTGCCTGACTGATTTCGACAAATGTATTGGAGAGGCTCCATGCGTAGACAGATAGATAGACAGATAGATAGGTAGATAGATAGATCGGTGGATAGATAGATCGGTGGATAGATAGTAAGATGGACAGATAGTAAGATAGAAACTTAAGGTGGATAGACAGATAGATAGGTAGCTAGATAGATCGGTGGATAGATAGACCGGTGGATAGATAGACCGGTGGATAGATAGACCGGTGGATAGATAGATTGGTGGACAGATAGTCAGATACGCAGGTGGAAGAAAGGTAGATGTATAGACAGATAGATAGATAGATAGATAGATAGATAGATAGATAGATAGATAGATAGATAGATAGATAGATAGATAGATAGATAGATATTCAGACAGGTAGATAGAATCAATCTATCTACCTGTCTGACTATCTATCTATCTATCTATCTATCTATCTATCTATCTATCTATCATGTATATATATATATATATATATATATATATATATCATATATATTATATATATATATATATGTCTATCTTTCTATGTAGCTATCTACCTATCTTTCTATCTATCGATCTATCTATCTGTCTATATATTTACCTTTCTTCTACTGATCTATGTATGTATGTGTGTGTGTGTGTGTTGCACAGAGAAAGAGAGAGAGAGAGAGAGAGAGAGAGGGAGAACATTCCATCGTCCTTTCCCTTTTGTGTCTACGGCGCAACTCGCACTTGTCTCCAGGGGTTGGCAGGTGGTCAGCCATGCACCCGCACATGGTGATTGACATGCGAGATGAGCCTCGCCTTCGCCGCCCTACCCTCGGCGCTACAGTACGTGCCGTCCCGACGGTTCCTCCGGGGCTGCTGGACAGCCTGCTGGACACACGGACGTCGTCGACAACGAAAGTTTCCACAGTTTGCTTGATCGTCGTCGTCGTCCGAGTCAAGGTCATCCAAGTCGACGTCGATTCGCATGTCGACCATCATATTGTGCAAGATGCAGACGGCCATAAACTCCTTCATGATCGTCTTCATGTTGCCGATTTTCTGCCTCAAGAAATTTCGCCGCACACCCTTCGGAAGTGCGAACGTGCGTTCAATGCTACTCCTCGCCGATGTGTGGCAAATTGGCAATCATCAAAATTCACCTCTTGGGGCGTGCGCTCGGAACCGGTGTCATCTGCCAAGGCAGCAATGGGTACCCTGCGTCCCTGAGAACGTAGTGGCGGACAGGTGTGTCGTCATGAAGAAAGGATGTGCCACCATGAAATATCCCACGCCCGTTCTGCGCATCCCTATAGAGGTGTGATATGCGAACGGCACGTGAGTCATGCCCCGATCCAGGGCACCCCACGAAAACATCCTGGATCTTGCACTCACGATCGCACACCATTTGCGCCACAAGCGAGAACTGCCTCGTGCAGTCGTAGTAGCATTCCGCCCGCTCGTTCTTTGGCTTTTCAATGTATAGATGTGTGCCATCAATCGCACCCACGCACCATGGGAACCCTTTCCTCTCAAATGCATCCATCACCTACTGGAGACGGCGACCTTCTGGGAACCTTATGAGGTGGCCGTACTCGTTGATGAGGGCGTCCGCAACGTCCTCGTTACTCCTTAACGCACTCGCCAGCCCCATCCCCATCCCGTGGCTCGTCTGCCAGTAATAGCCTCCTGCGGCCCATCTGATCAACGCGCATGCGAACTTCTGCGCAACTGGAATTGGCTGCCTCCAGTTTGTCAACTTCCGCTGAATGTGTGGCGCTATTCGCTGTGCAACTTCATAGAAGAGTGGTCAAGGGAGTCTGCAGAACCAGACGAAGACCTTGTCATGAGCCTCACCGACCTCGGAGATCTTTCCACGTCCCGCCATGGAGGTCCAGAACCCACATACTCCTGGATCGTCTCCTCCATCGGTTGTTCATGCTGTCCATGGCGGCGGACACAAGGGAAACGCTGTGCAGGAAGCCCCCAGCGAGGAGCAAAAGAACCTCTCCCATTTCAGGGTGTGCAACTGAACAGGATGAAGCCGTTGCATTGAGAACAGCAAGAGCCGCCCTGTTCCGCTGCATCACCAATTGTATAACAATAAAAACAACCATGAACAAATGGTCGTCATCGTCAACCTCATTGTCGCCTACATTACCTCGCCCTCCCCAGTCCCCAACGTCTTCCACACCGCTTTCCATTGGGCCTTACAACGGCGCACAACCTCTCCCCCCCACAACACAGGGCTATGTCACAAACGACAGAGACACGCAACCGCGGCGATACCCCGATCCGTAGGCGCGGCCTTCAACAACGATCGGCTATGGCGGACATATCGAGTGTGACGAACATGGATGCGTTGCCCGAAACAGCCACGGACTCCGAGAGAGCATGCTCACTGCGCCCCACATCACCTTCGCCCTTTCCCAGGTGGGACCGTGGAATCCCGTGGTTCCACCGTGGATACAAACAAGGAGGTCGACAATTGTCGAAATGTCCCCTGGAACAACTGGCCCACAACGGCCCTGACCAACGGTCGCAAAAAGGCTGCATCGGTTCCCCAACCAAAGTCGACCCCTTCTGGGGGGTGCTGCCCCCCGCACGATGCCGCAGGCCACACAACGTCGCCCAAGGACAGCCACGTGGAATGGCGTACTATACCTTGGTCCACAACAGCCTCACCAAACGCCCATAACGCCTTGGAGGTACTGCAGGGCGGGCACGAAACGACCGGGGATGGAAAAAAAAACGGGCGCGGTGGGATCCCCTCCAACTCCGCATCTCCACTGGCGAAGGAAAATTGTCGTCGGCGGTGGGAAGGACGAAAATCGTCCGCGCGGCTGTGGGGTCCAACCCTTAGTTTCTCAGCCAAGAATTCTATCTTATATTTGTATTCAATAACCAACAAACAATCAATTAGTACCAACACAACTACTTTACTCAACAATGTCCCCTAGCTAATTCAACCCTACTCCTAAGACCTACCAAAGGGAGTGCACAGACCTACATCCCGTCCAGCCTCTGCCTACACCGTCCGAGAGGAACAACAGTTCCTTAGTCAAATAACCGGAAGCTCTCCCTCGCCCACCTGTTGCGGCCTACCGTGACCGCCAACCCGAACCGAGATCCCTGGTTCATCCTTGACCCTATCCTAGACCCCGCGCTCCATTCACCCAGGCTATCCGAGTGCCCCTGGTTCGTCCCTGACCCTATCCTAGACCCCACACTCCATTTCACCCCCTACAAGCTACTCACTCATTACGACACACAACGTATTTTTGCATCTCAAGGCCCTCTATAGGTCGCGACCCTGTCCTTTCTGCTTTGGGCAAAAAAAGGGTGAGCAGTGTGACCCGCAGGTAACATATAAACGCAAATTCACATACTTAAAATTTGCAGAAGTACGTGCTAGTGGTATGCCCAAAGTCGCAGTTTGAGTATGCCCTGAGAGCCTGAGCCCCTGTAGACATGTTTGAAAACCAAAATAA